GACCGGGACACCATCACAACATGATTGGGTCACAATCACAACATGATCGGGACACCGGGACACCAGCATCACATGAGCCATCAAAACATGACCGGGACACCATCCGCCCACCAGCTCTGACGGTGACCCGACGGCGCCCGTCCGCCTATTAGTTTTGCAAGACCCCATAGCATGGCTATTGGGGAATAAAAGCAATACAATTATATACTATAAATATATATATATACTATATATATATGAACCAAACTGGTATACCTAGCAACAGAGATCATTAAAATGTGAACACATGTGTGGAGGTTCTGTATGGACCCTTCTGTAGACTGTCAGTATGCCCCATCATACCGTTTTACTGTGGTTATATAAGTTCAGTTGTTGAAATTGCCCAAAGATGTTGCTAGCTTGGGGCAAGGTGTAGGAAATACCCCTGCTATTGAGTTGCCAGCCCCGCTTGACCCACAAAGTGTGATGATGCGAAACAGGCGACATTGACTAGGTCACCGTCAATGCGGGTTGCTTCACAGTGAGTAAATAAATCATGACCCCACACCAGATCAGCATCCTAGCTCTGCCGAAGACAACGGAATCCAACAAATCGCCTCACCGACATGGACCTGTTGGTACTAGCAATGCCAGGAGCTACTAGTAGCGTCCTTGCTACTAGTAGTAATGCCCTTGTTACTCTGTTACTTGTTATTATATAGTAGCTTCTTGTTGATTGGTCCCGAAAAGGTGCGCCTAACATCGGCACCAGGACCTGTTCAAGATCGATCTCGGGGCTCTCCGCCGGCACCTGTGTGTGATGGGCGAGCGTCACAGCAGTGGAGAGATTTGGAGATTGGAAACATGCTCCAAATCTGTGTCCCATGGTATGATTTGAAGATTCGCCAGCAAGTGATAGCTGTCCAAACAGGTGGTTTGGGCCCATGGTTTGTGGAAAAGTGAAAGCTGTTTCAAGGCCACTACCCAAAAATACACAGTAATACACGACGTCCTTGTCTGTTGGACCAAAAAGTCTGAAAAACAATCAATGAGAGTAAGTATCATAATCATGTCTTTGCTTTCGGAGGTCAAGCCGCACACTGGAACCTCCACCTTACCATTTCCGAAGGTAGATCTCATCTTCTCAAGTTTCAGACAGCAGACTTTTGACAAACAGTTCTTTGGGTTGAATCGCCTATGGGTTGATAGATGAGAACACGTGATCCCCCAACCCGAACAACCCTGCTCTCTGTCCCGAACAACCCTGGGTCCCCCAGGCTCGTGCGGGCGACGCAGCAACAGACGTCTGAGACGGGTGAGGCCAAGGCAGATGTGAGATGTGGCCAAATAGGCGTGGTAAAGACTTCTTCACCTACTCAGCGAATCCAAATGGTACAGAATAGGCATCCAAAGATGTAGCCGACAAGTCGCGCCAGCTCTACGTAGCAAGTTTTGCAGCAAGTGGTTTGCAAAGGAAATGTGGGATAGCCATGTGCAGGAGGTGTGCAGGTGACTCCCCTTCTGCTGGCCTTGCCAGGAATGAACCTCCACGCGGTGCTCATGTGAGAACATGGGATGCTGCAGTGATATGTGCTGGTTTGTCTATGTCTGTCTTCACTTCTATCGAACTCAAGTTCGTCCCCTGGCCGTGAACGCCTCCGGCAGTTCCGTTAAGGTTCCCAAGCGCTCTTGCCGGTCCTGGTGGGCCAAAACAGTACTGGCCCTGTCCGTAGATTGAGAAATTCAGACACTGTGTAGCTGTGTGCATGTGTATTGTTGATAGTACCTATTCTATTCTGTACACATACAAGAAGGCGCTCGTTCAAAGGATCTTCATCCATCTCTCCATCTCTCTCCATCCGCTCAACTGGTCGCCCGCTCCGCGCCCGCTCCGTGCCCGCTCCGTGCCCGCTCCGTGCCCGCTCCTCCTCGTATACCGATTCGAGGTGCGACGCCGTGGCTGCCCCGATGATCACCTGAAGATGGCACACGGCTTGGCTTCACCAAAAAGTGCTCAGCAAATTGGGGAGTGGGGGGCAGTCGCAGTTTCTCGAGGGAAACTGGCATCGGAAAACTTGAAAGAGAGGGAATCAGTGTCTCATGGGAAGAAGGTTTCACATGGAGTACGCCTAGCTGATGCTACGACAGATGTGGGAGGACCTGGCGTGAAAACCCTCGTTTGGCAGTCGGGGCCCCAGGCCACATGCGCATCCGAGACGTCCGACATGGCACCTGGCATAGTGACGGGAATGATTGAACAAGCTCAGTCTGTGCCAACCAAGAAAAAGTGCAGAAACGGGTTTCAAAAGAAGACAAACGTTGAACAGCTCGCGTGCTTCTTTCATCCAAAAAATGTTCAAGTTTTCTTTCGGTCCTAATATAGAATCTCGACTGGGAACTTTCGGCCAGCGTATGCAAGAATCCTAATGAAGCAAGAAAATCCAATTCTCCTCAGCAAGCACTCCACAGTTTAACTTGAAGCATACCCTGAGCAGAAAGTCACTGGCATCGCTACCAGGATCATCGAGGAATTGAAGTCCTTTGCAACCTTACACCTTGAGATGCTCAACCCAAGATGACAAAAGAACAAGAGAAAAAATATATGCCCAAGTCCACAGTCTAAAGAAGAAAGTAAACATTTGAAGGAAATAATAGGAACTTATCATATATACACAAAACTTTAGTATCAATTTCCCCAAGGCCGGGTCCATGTTGAAATCCACCAAGCCATGGGCCTTCACTCTCAGCGCTGTGCCGGCTATCACGACGGCTGTCTTTGCTGATCCGCCGAGAGTCCTGATCGCTCAGTCCCGTCGGCCGAGGTCGTCGTGACGCGAAAAGGGGCGGCAACGGTTCACCCACAGAATCCCACGGATCATGAAAAATATTGGGATCTGAAAAGAATTGCCCCTTGGAAGACTCTATCATGATCTAATGAGCCATATTTATATATATTGTCGAAAGGGTGTCCACTGACCTGACCGTTGGATGTCCTCCCGCCACCAACCGTGTGGCTCAAGATCTCGTTCGCCGATCGTTGTCAAACAGTGCGCCATGACACCTTGCTTTTGACCTCCCTACCACCTGTTTCATACAGGTGGTAGCGGAGCTGGACGTTGGTAGGACCTTGGGGTATTCTTCATCGAATAGCTGTCCTACTTCCAGTTTCCTTTGGGTATAGCAATGTCAACTCACTCTCGACACCGGCCAGGATCTGACACTCAGGGGCGATCAGCATCTGCGCAATCATCTCCGCAGCCTGATTATTTGAGACGTATGCCACAGGTATGCAAGCTGAAGCCTCAGTTCCACTACGGCCCCCTCCAGGATTGGAAGAAGAGCCGGCTCCTGACGAGCTTGATCCAGACCCCTGGCAGCAGTCTCGACCGAGCCCAGTGGACAATTCAGAATTCAGGCAGTTTTTGACTTGAATTTTGTTCAATCCCGTGAACAACCAACCCATCACACGGGGAACCCTGTGAATAGAGGTGGTAGGAATTGGGATTCATATCGGGGATACACATCCCGTCATCAGGATGACAACGAATCGGATCATGAAAGGACGAATGCAGGTCCGCCGCCGACTTTTGATGGCACCACGGACTTCAAGGATTACAAGATCAGAGCTCGACTATGGTTATCCACAACCAAGTCCAAGCCCAGGACACGTGGACCTTTGCTCCTCAAGAATCTCTCCGGGTCCGCCTTCGACAACTTCCAGTGGCTCGCCAATGATGATAGCTGGCTCAACGCCTCCGACAACGGAGAAACCTTGCTGGCTAAGATGAACACTCGTGAATACTATGGCGAGGACTCCAGAGAAGACATGCTCAACTGCTTGGGTCGGTTGACCTACCAGTTGGAGAGATCCAAGGGGGAGAACCAGAGGGACTTCTGCGCCCGCTTCGAGATCGCAGTTCGAAAGGTCCGTGACCATGGAGTTCAGCTTCCACCCGAATACCTCGGTTTCCTCTTCATCATGTCCCTTCAGCTGAACATGGAGGAGGTGAAACTTCTCATGAACTATACAAAAGGGAGCTTGCATGTGACCGACGTCCAAGAGTGGCTGCGTGTGCACGAAACGGAGCTTGACTCCGGACTTAGCTCCAAGGATCCCAGCAAGACCAATGACAAGAAAGCCGTCTTCCTGACCGAGGTCGCTGAGGGCTCCGAGTACCAGGAGGCTGAAGAAAATGACGGCGAGAACTCCGACTATGAGATTCTCCTGGCAGCCGCTGACGAGCTCGGGGTGGATGAACCGCCTGAGGAGTTCGAGGAGGCTGACGCCAGAGAGATTCTGGCGAGCCACATCCCGGACTGCTCCAATGCAGACTCCAGGAAACAAGCGAACCCGGGCCATGGGTCCTCAACCGCAGGAGGAGATGATCATGATCCGCCGCTGGCGCCGCATCATGTTGCGCGCCTTTGTGATGATCCAGCAGGCATTGATCCACACTCTGACCTTCCGGATGAACATGCCAGGATTCCAGGGGCAGCGAGCTCGCCAAATGTCCCAAGATCTCGATCTCCTGGCCGACGAGGAGCTGGACTACCTGCAAGATCAAATCCTCGACCAGACCCAGCGCAGAATGTCAGACACCGACAGCTGGTCAATGGCGTCCTTGAGTCAGAAGGCGCCGATGACACCACCTCGTGCTCGGGGACAACGTTCCAGTCACCACAACGACGAGGAGGAAATTCCACAATGTCACTGTCGACGGCGGCAATCCAGCTCATCACGAACAAAGAGGGCCCAAACCATGGCAGGACATTCTGGAGGTGCAGCCGGTGGTACGAACCATACCGGGCATGCAAGTTCTTCCAGTGGACCAAAGTCCAGTTGAACTGGCGACCAACGGCCGGAACTCCAAGCAGCAGCATGTCGAGTCCGGAAAAACTACACGGCTCACCAGCACACAGTCCGGTGGCAGCCATCGAGCCAGTCTGCCTACACACCAGAACCACCAAGTCGGGATCCAACGGATGGATCGAACAGATCAAATGTCTCGATTGTGGAGAGATTGTCCAGAAGACGGAGAAAGCCAAACCAAAAGGGAAGACCTCCAGTTCGTCGTCAACCATTCCGACTTCGAACGACGGAACGGCCGAGTTGATGAGCCAGTGGGAGGAGTTCCAACAATTCAAGAAGATGCAGGAGCAGCTCCGCCGCTGACGACAAAATCACCCACTGAGGAGACTGAGCTGGACCTAGATCGCAAGACTATAAATCCGACACATATACATCGGATGGAAGCATGCTTGAACAATGCAATCTGCCAGTGGAACTATTTGATTCAATTTTGCGAAGATCCCACCAAGTATGAACCTGACATGTTCCTACAGCATGTTTGCAACAAGTTGGAACAAGACAAAAGCAAGAAGCATGTGAAGAACATTGCGCAATTGTTTCATTTGGAACCCAGCAGTTTGCGACAAGTCTCTGAGATCTTCAATCCAAACCGGTTTGGGCCGGCGACAAAAAGACATGGACTTAATCAGGGCCAGGTTTTCGACATCACACTTGGAGATGATCTACTCAAGAAAGAAGCACAGGAAACAGTCCTTTCACACATCAGGCATGACAGGCCTGGATTGACAATCATTTCACCTCCATGTGGGCCATTCAGTGCATTGCAAAACCTGTCAGCCTCGTTAAGAGCTAATGATTGGAATGCTGCAAAACGACATATGATCAAACTGAGAGAAGCTAGAAAACTTCTTCATTTCGCCATGCAAGTGTGTGCACTTTGTCATTCATTGGGCTTGTCATTTTTATTTGAACATCCACGAACCGCTCGTTCTTGGCTGGAAAAACCCGTCCAACAGCTTCTACGACATCCCGATATCGAACTAGTTCACGGCGATCAGTGCATGCTTGGCCTCAAATCCAAGGCCACCGGCATAGCGATCAAGAAACCAACTGGCTTCTTGGGAAACAACAAGACCATCCTTGAGGCCCTGAAGATCAAGTGCTCAGGAGACCATCAACATGAACAGCTTGTTGGCAGCAATCAACATGGCCCGAGATCGGCTCAGGCCCAGGAGTATCCGAGCTCCATGGTCAACACGATTCTCAAGGCCTATGCCAGGTCGTGCAACCTTCGGCCACATGAACTCCATCAAGTACAAGCCTACGAGCTGATCCATGAGGACTACCAGGTCAATGGAAACTACTTTGAAGAACTAGAACCAAATGAGATTTTTGCTGAACAAGATGACATACCAGTTCAAGCGGTCTATGGTGCTCTTCAGAATCAGTTCACGGAGAGTGCTAAGGCAAATTATCTTCCGGAATCAAGCCAGCCATGGCATTTCTGGAGCCGAACCGACCTGAACATCAACAATTACCAGATCACCAAGGGTGACAGTCCCCCACTTCCAGACTGTGGAGTACTGCCTGACCTTCCGTTTGCGAGACCAATCACTCATCAAGCTGGACAAGATTAGTGAGCTGGCCGATGAACAACTTGAACAAGAGCTGCCTGAACCCAAGCAGGACACCGTCACTGTGTTTGCCTGGAGACGGTCTCGCGACTTAGCTGGAGCCCGGCAGATTTCGTTAGAACGATTAGTTCGTAGAGCACATGAGGGTTTAGGGCATCCTGAGCTTAATCGATTCGTTCGAATATTGAAAGCTAGCCGTGCCCGACCGGAGGTCATTGAAATTGCCAAAAACCTGAAATGTTCAGTTTGCCAGCAGTTCAGAACTCCATCTCCCATGAAACACAGTGCACCGCCCAGAGAGAACCTCCAGTTCAACCAGCTTGTAGGAATTGACACCGTCCACCTGAGGAATCACAAGCACCAGCCTGTCCCAGCTTTGAGCATCATAGATTCTTCTTCGCATTTTCAACTAGTGATCCCAATGAACAATAGTACTGCCAAAGCCGCTAGACCGGCTTATCGCCAGTGGTTGAAGATTTTTGGTGCTCCTACCCGTATGTACGGGGACCTTGGCAGTGAATTCCGATCTGTTTTCGTGCAAGCCCTGGAAGAGGGTGGAACAGAATTCATCCCGAGTGCCCTGGAAACCCCGCAACAAAGAGGTTTGGTTGAACGAGCTGGTAAAACCTTTAAAACCATGCTTTATAAAACCATGGCCACCACATCATGCACCACCGAAGAAGAGTGGAAAGCATGTGTCGATACGACCACGATGATGAGAAATAGATTGTTGCTGCGTGGAGGATACTCCCCGATACAGCGTGTCATGGGATTCACCCCACGACTGCCAGGGGAACTCATGATTGGACGTGAACCTCACCTCCGAGGAAGAACTCCAAACTCGGCAGGCGACATGTCTGTGATGAGAAGCATGGAGCTTCGACGTGCCGCAGCACATGCATTTTTCGAATCGGACTGCCAGCAATCCTTGCAGCAAGCCTTATATGCAGGCCCAAGGCCGTGGAGATCCTTCGAACCAGGACAAGTCGTATTTTTCTTCCGTCGTGGAGCGGACACACAGAAAAAGCCGACTGACTTCTACTGGAGGGGTCCTGCTCGAGTTTTGCTTGTGGATGCACCCAACACAATTTGGTTGTCCTATCGGAACATCATCATCAAGGCTTCACCTGAACGTCTCCGCCCAGCAAGTAAAGAAGAAACATTAAGTCTCTCCCAGTGGCTGGATGGACTGACAGAGCTGAAGGACCAAATGAACAACCTGAACAGTGGTGTCGTTGACCTCACCCAAGAAGAACCTCCAACTGAAGAGGAAGTGGGTGTCGAAGAAACAACAGATACACATGAACCACTGGAAGATCCGGATTCTGAACTTGTTCCAGCAATACAGCCTGGTTCACCAGAGGAACCACCATTGTTTCCTGCACCTGCAAGACGAGTTCGTGCCAAAACAGGAGACTATGTTCCTAGGGAAATTGTGCAATCAATTCCTGAACCAGAACAGCCTCGCTCGATTCCCATGGAAGTCGAACCACCACAACAAGAGGAGCCATCACTGGAATACTCTCCAGAGTATGCTGAACCGGAACCATCGCAAAAACGAGAGGTCATCGATGTCGAGTCCGACCCGGAAGAACCAATTGAAGAACCACCTGACAAAAGACAAAGGCTTGAGTTCATCGAGATGCTCTACACGGCAATTTCACAATCAGTGGCCCAGAGAAAGAGAAAGGAGTTCCGAGCAACAGACTTTGAAGGTAAAGATCGTGATCGCCTGCTGAAGTCCATGACAAAAGAAATCAACCAAAATCTTGAATCAGGTGCTTACAAGCTTCTGGATATTCAGACTTCCGAGAAGATCAAGAAGACGATGCCTGACAAGATTATGGGATCTCGCTATGTCCTGACCAAGAAACCTCTTGAAGACGCAGATATTCCAAAAGCACAGCTAGAGGATCTCTTGCTGGATGATCGAACTCATGGACCAGCCAAGGCGAAAACAAGACATGTGACGCAGGGCTTCTCGGACCCTTCAGCATTGGATGTTCCAACAACTACACCACAGGCGACAAGAGATACAGTTGTTTTCATAGCACAGATCCTGAGCAGTCTTCATTGGACTCCTGGCTATCTGGATTTCACTCAGGCCTTCCACTCGGGAAGCGGCATCGATCGAGAACTCTATGCTCGGCAACCGCCGGAAGGTATTCCAGGTGCTGATCCTCGACAGCTGCTCAAATTGTTGAAACATTGCTATGGATTGACCGACGGTCCATTCAAGTGGTATGAACATTTGAGCCAATATCTTTTGTCACAGGGCTACGTTCAATCTCGGCTGGACCCGTGTTTGTTTTTCTTGTTCGGTGGAGACCACAGCACTGGACAAACACTGTGTGGTATTTTGGGAGTTGCAACTGACGATGTTTTTCATGGTGGTAATGAACAACACTGGAAAATCATCGAGCAAATATCCAAAGACTACAAACTAGGTAAGAACCAACGGGGTTCGGGCCGCTTCACTGGCAAGGACATTGTCCACAATGAGGATGGATCCATTTTCATTGGACAACAGTATTTTGTTGAAGACAAGGTGAAGCAAATTCCAATTGATAGGAAGCGACGTCAACAGAGATTCTCAAGATGCAATGCACAAGAAATCGAACAGCTGAGAGGACTGCTTGGTACATTGTCATGGCTTTGCAAGGAAACACGCAGTGATCTAGCTGGCCGAGTTGCATTGCTACAACAGAGTTTTCCAGCACCAAAGGTTCGGGACATTGAGCAAGCAAACAAGTTGGCTCAGGAAGCACATCAATTCAAACACCTGGGAATTCTTGTACAACCAATCAGTCTTTCAAAACTTCGAGTTGGTGTTGTGAGCGATGCCTCCTGGGGCAATGCCAGGGAGTCCAGCGAAGGACTCGAGGACAACGTGAAAGACGATTATTGGGAAGAACAAGAGACATGCTGGGTGAGACATCACAAACATCCCCGCAAGAGTTTCTTTCATCCAAGTTTTTGCACTACAGGTCCTAGTCCGCACGATCTTCAAAGAGAACGCAGAACAGAAATGCTAGATTTTGAGGGTGAACGGTTCTGTAAAACCGAAATAGATTCTTGGAATGAAACAAAAGGTATTCGCAATACAGAGCAGCAATGGGTTGGCCGCACAGTTTTCAAAAAGGCACTCAACAAAACAGATCGTATTCCACCGTCACAGATCCGGAATCTTTCAGAGCAACAAGAGTGTCTGAGTAGTCAAGGAGGTCAATTCATTGTTTATTATGATGAAAGCTTGACATCCTCACAGCAGCCAACTCAGGTGGCACTTGCCGCTTGGAAGAGTTATCGCTTGAAGCGGAAAGTCGTTAGCACCTTGGGAGCAGAATGTCAAGCCCTGGTCAATGGAGTTGGACATGTGAACTGGCACCGCCTTTTGCTGTTGGAAGTGTTGAGTGGTCAATTAACATCTTCTGAGTGGGAGCTCCGCTTGAAAGAATTGCCATTCATTTCGGTCACTGATAGCAAATCCCTTTACGATTCTCTTCGTAAGGAAGCTTGTCCTGCAGCGCAGTTCAGCGACAAAAGAGTTGCTATAGACATATCTGTACTGCGAGATGAGTTTCGCCATCAAGGCGGCTGCATCAGGTGGATAGATACACGAGCTATGATCGCAGATTCCTTAACAAAAGATTGCCTGCCCGGATATCTTCGATACATCATGGAACATGGCAGGTGGGCAATTTTCGAAGAAGGAGTAGCTCTCCAAAGGAAAGCACTCGAAAGAAAGGACATCCAAAAGAAAGTTGGAGCAGTGTCGAAAGGGTGTCCACTGACCTGACCGTTGGATGTCCTCCCGCCACCAACCGTGTGGCTCAAGATCTCGTTCGCCGATCGTTGTCAAACAGTGCGCCATGACACCTTGCTTTTGACCTCCCTACCACCTGTTTCATACAATATACAGTATAGTGTGTGTATATATATATATCACGACTTGTTCTGTTCCCTCTGTTCAAAAGTTTGTTTGCTGATTTCCCATTTGTCTTCTAAGTTTTTGAGTTCAAAGTAGGGTCCGTGAAACTTGTCGGCGTGCACAATTGTAGATGTTGTAGCAGGCCTTGGATGTTTGCATGCAGGATCCCTCCCGTTCAACAAAAGAACTTGACGAGGTGATCGGTTGGTTGAGGAAGGAGGAGATCTGGATGCTGGCACATCGTAGCACCCATTGGGGTTCCTAAAGCTGGGCTTCGAATCGGATGAACTCATTCATCACGACCTGGATCTACCTATATTAAATCATCGAAAATCTAAAACTTTGGCCAACCTCCTTGCGATTGTAGGACTGTGCGTCCCCATCTAAACCATTTCTTTGACAAACAGGTTGAGAAAACTTGAAAAAAAAAAAACAGGAAAATCGGGTCTGATGCGACTCCTCTATTTCGGCTCCTTGCTGATGGCCCGGAGCAGTGAAGCAGAACTGGGACTGGCGATCACATCCTCCAGTGAGAATGGATCTCCACGGCACCATGGCGGCCGAGTCGCACGAGTCGGAGATGTTGGATTCAAACGGTCGTAAAGACCTGGATGTTGGTCCAAGCAGCACGTCTTTGTTTGTTTCACCACAGAATTTGGCATGCTTGGAGGATCTTGGAGGATGGTATTTCCTTTGTTGGATGGGTGGGATGTCTCTTTGACGGCGTGGAATACAGCTGAATCGTTTGATTGACCACAGAGAAAAAGAAAAGAGCACCTGTGAACCATCGGTATTAGGTTATATAAGTTTCCCTAAAAATCTAGGAACCAAATGATTAGTGCGAGCGCTATCCTGCGTCCCAGGTAGTAGCTACTTCAGCTACTGGCTACCTCTCCCTACTAGCTAGCTACTTACCTGCCTAGCTACCTAGCTAGCTACCTAGCTAACCTAACTAACCTACCTCACCTCTACTAGCGGCCTACCCCCCGAAAAAGAAAAAGAACTATGGGACCTGTTTGCCCTCAGCTTAGGTCTCCGGGCTGAGACGTCGCTGAAGCCACCTGGGCGCTCCCGAGCCCTGACAAACTGCAAAACAAGTAGGGAGGCCAGGAGCCCCATTCGTGGCGTCCTTGCTCCTAGTAAGGAGCAAGGACGCTACTAGGGGCTCCTGGCCTTACTATTAGAAACAAGAAGCTACTAGGAGCTCCTGGCATCGCTACTAGGAGCAAGGACGCTACTCGGGGCTCCTGGCCTTACTACTAGGAACAAGGACGCTACTAGGGGCTCCTGGCCTTACTATTAGGAACAAGGACGCTACTAGGAGCAAAGGGCATCGCTAGGACGCTACTAGGGGCTTATGGCCTTACTATAAGGAACAAGAAGCTACTAGGAGCGAAGGGCATCGCTACTAGGAGCAAGGACACTACTAGGGGCTCCTGGCCTTACCACTAGGAACAAGGACGCTACTAGGAGCAAAGGGCATCGATACTAGGAGCAAGGACGCTACTAGGGGCTCCTGGCCATACTACTAGGAACAAGAAGCTACTAGGAGCTCCTGGCATCGCTACTAGGAGCAAGGACGCTACTAGGGGCTCCTGGCCATACTACTAGGAACAAGAAGCTACTAGGAGCAAAGGGCATCGCTACTAGGAGCAAGGACGCTACTAGGGGCTCCTGGCCTTACTACTAGGAACAAGGACGCTACTAGGAGTAAAGGGCATCACTACTAGGAGCAAGGACGCTACTAGGCACTCCTGGCCCTACTACTAGGAGCAAGAAGCTACTAGGAGCTCCTGGCATCGCTACTAGGAGCAAGGACGCTACTAGGGGCTCCTGGCCTTACTACTAGGAGCAAGAAGCTACTAGGAGCTCCTGGCATCGCTACTAGGAGCAAGGACGCTACTGGGGGCTCCTGGCCTTACTACTAGGAACAAGGACGCTATTAGGAGCTAAGGGCATCGCTACTAGGAGCAACGACGCTACTAGGCGCTCCTGGCCCTACTACTAGGAGCAAGAAGCTACTAGGAGCTTCCGCCGCGTCCCTGAAAGCTTCGCTCCGAGCCACTGCTCACGCTCGGCTGGCTCTGGGTTCTTTGGATGCCTGGCTTGGGGAGCTGGTGGAAATCATGAGTTGGTCGACTGAAGAACACCCACACCACAATTAAGATCAGGAAAATTTGATAAATCAGAGCTGCTTGGACCACAGAGTGGTCCGGATTTTGAGAGACAGCAGCATGGCTTGATGTGCGATGAGTTCAGTTGATGGGTGCATGGAAAATCATAACAGCCGCTTCGTGTGGGCATTCTTTACCCACGAGATTTGGGAGGTTACAGACGGCTGTTTGTGAATGTAGCTGCGGCTGGACAAATTTAAGCACTGAGAACAGGGGACTAGTGATGATAGTGGTTGTCTTCTTTCATGGGAGAATCCCCTGCGACACTGAGGTACTCATTGACTGCTTGATCGCCGCAATGTAGGCAACTGCCTCCGATCCAGATGTTAAAGGAAATGCTGACCACTTAATGCCACAGCAGCCCCGAAAGAGGTGTCCCACGCAAGAGCTTGGACCGAGCTCAGTCGGGTACCTCATGTTATGCTCTGAGCTCTTCAAAGTCACCATCCCACACCCTTGCACAAAGAGATCCTGAACTCCTAAGCATGCCCCAGCAATCACTGGACTCCATGCGATTCACCAAAGAATGGCGACTAAAAAGACAACTTTAAAATGTGACCCCTGATGTTACTTGAAGAACTGCTCATGTTAATATGGCCCTTGACTCTACCCTTGGCAACCACTGTTGCACTGACAAACACCCCGCTTCATGATTCTTCCACCACCCAGATCGGGCTGGGCACGGCGACGGGGCAGTGCAGGGCTTACAGGGAAGCTGCTTTCTCCCTGGAGAGGTTGGGTGAAGCCCTTCTCGGTGGGCTTGGGTCTCATGAATCGAATAGCACAGATCAGCCAAAAACAAAGATCCTGGTGTAGAAGAGCAAAAGACATGGGGCACCCCATCAAACAATCCTACGATATCAACGCGCCTACCAAAAGTGACTGAGAGTACTTGATGGGAAGCTCAGGAATGCGCGCGGCCGGGCACGGCGGTCGTGGCCCGAACAGGTTCGCAATGCATCCTCCCTGACCCATGCAGTCTCCATCTAGTTTCATCTTTGACCCACGCCTAGATCAGCAATCAAATGACGAATAGTGAAGACGATATTTTAAAACGACACACATGGCCAATCATAGCAACCCTGCAGCCCAGTAGCACCATTCTCGCTGGTCCACACTCACCAACAAAAAAAGCAAACCCACCACCTCAGCAGAGGAGGCAAAGGAACTCCGCCGCGCTGATCCCTGGCATGCACAGAGGTGGACAGGCTGTTTTGGGCGAAGAAGAAAAGCTCCCCCGAAGTCGTGGCCCGAAAAATGACCGTAAAATCACAAGTTCCATAAAATCTACGAAAGCATGCGCTGTGGAAGTGGTCAGATATGCTTTCGGCCTTTGTGGTGATTCTCTACATGTGTTACATCCACGACTGGAGCTTCATGTGCCGGACGTTTGAGTTTCGTGTGAGGGTCTCCAGGGCGGCTCCAGATTCAAATTCCATATCCATGCTGGGACTGGTGCCACGACGATCCATCTAGGTGGTGTAGCAAGTCTGCTTCTGATTTATTGTTTTTTTTTGGAGGGACTTTTGTGTGCCGCGATTGTTACTTTGTCAGGATTTGGATGGATTTGGGATCTCTAAGCACACTTGATGAGACGACTTGAAGATACTTGAAGAGTGAGTTTTTGGATTGAAGTAGAAAGAATACCCATGTACAGAGTCGATGAACAGGGGAAGCTGGACATGGGCGTTCTTTTGTCCAGGTCTGCTCGACACTGAAACGCCGGCACCTGCGACCTGTACCTGTAGGGATTGTACAGAGACAGAAACCACATATTATTTCACCCCTGGAACCTGATGCACACCCCCCCAAAGCTTTCGAAGGAACCGTTGCAACCACACGCCACTTTTGGGAGGGTGTCCTCCAGTGTTTTGTGATCCAACCCATCTCCGCAGCCGGGAGTGTCCTGATCTGAATCTGAGTGTCTCCTTGAGATGCCCTTAGTCGGTCGTCGAGTGACTTGTCTGCATGTGGAGATATGGTCACATGGTTTTGGGAAACTAAACGTCAGGGTATGATTGTTTCCCTTGAGTATGATTGTTTCCCCACTCCCAGCTGTTTTTGAGATGCAGCCGCAAGCAAATTGCCAAAGCCCGCAGCCAGAGCTGGTTGAGAAACCATACTCTCAGCTGCCTCCCGGGCCACCACGTTTACTTGACATTGAGAAATAGATGTTTGGACAGCACAGAGGCAACTGTGAATCTAAGTCAGGGTAGACCTTCAAA